TTGATGAAAATATACTTTTCAGTATAGAACGGAAGGAAAAATAACAAGCATCCGGCAACACCCTCCCATTTTATCAGTTATAGAAAAGAAAAAAAAGAATGCAAATCGTCTATTTCTATAAATATTGCTTACAAAGAAACCTTCGTCAAACATACTCATAAAAAAAGAAAAAATTACAGCCTATTCTCATTCAAATGATGCGTACTACCGACAACATTCAGTTGAAAATGAATGAAAAAAAAAGCAATCTTCCGGCAACTCTCTTCCTTTTTATCAGTTAGAGAAAAGAAAAAAAGAAAGAAGACGTATCTTCTATTTCTATAAATATAACTTGAAAAGAAACCTACATCAGACGTGTTTTTAAGTTTCTTATTCCAACTCATAGGAAAAAGAAAAGATTGCAGACTATTCTCATTTGAATGATGCATACTACCGATGATATTCAGTTGGAAATGAAAGAACCATTGACAATACAAGTAGAGAATCCAGTATCTACTAAGAAAAATACTGTCTGTTTGAGATTTCGACGAGTTTTTACTCTTGATGTTCAACCAAATGAAAAACATCATTACCCAATATTTATTATCATTATGTCTATTTTACATATTTCTATTCATTTGACAACATATGTCAACATCAAATGGAGAGATCAACGTTTTAAAGATTCATTAGATGATCTTTGGATGTATTATATACCATGTATGCGACCAACACCTTACTATATGCATATGCATATCGTCGACTGCATATCATCGATACAAAATGTCACATGTTATTACGGTGACGAGCTCAAACACAAGTGCTTTTCTTTTCTATATCCACATCAATTATGGAGAATGGTTACTATTAATCTACTCCATATCAATTGGTTTCACTTATTAGTTAATCTGTCAAAACAACTAATCTTGGGTATTTTACTCGAACGTAAATATGGTTCATTTCGGATAGTTATTGTCTACTGGCTTTCAAATGTAGGTGGTATTCTTTGTGCTATGTTGGAAGATAGTCGAAAAAGTAAATAGAGTATTATTTAATTTTCTTTTGTGATGGCATAAATAAATCAAATGGAACGTCGACGTTTTGTAGATTTGATTAAGACTATTTTTGAACATTTTCTTTCTAAATCTAAAATTCATTTTAATTTTTAGGTGTTGTTGGAGCTTCCGGTGCTATATATGGCCTGTTACTACTTTTCACCGTAGAACGTCTTAATGCAATGAAAACAAATATCGATCATCGCCGTTTCATATTGATGCAATTAGTTCTATTTGCTGCATTTCCTATGGCCATCAGCATATTTTCAGCGGCTATTCTTGGCATAAATGTGGCACATGCGGTTCATATTGGTGGTGGTTTGGTAGGTTTTCTGTTTGGTATCGGTATGTTTGGTTGTCCATGTCCATGTCCATCGAATAATAACTATTTTCACTGTCAAATGCCATGCAGATGGATAGCATTTATTTTTATTTTTATCTACTTTGTTCTTACTTTCACTATTTTTTTTCTAAAAGACGCTCCGTATATACCGTGGATTTGGCCAGAATACTAGTTGAAAATTTAGAATTTATAAATAAATAAATGTAAAGTTGTTAGTATTACTAACATCTATCATCGATTTGCTCATCATTTTGAAATGAGAGTATGTGACGAAAAAAAAGAATATGAATAATATAATCACACTTCATCATAACATTTTCTATATATACAGATGTGTATATCAACCAACATATCTTCGAGAATTTTCCTGTACCAAAATTTTTCTAATATGCTTGAATGATTCAAAATTATTACATATCATCAAAGCTATCTGGTCTTAGTATGCAATCAGTCATTATCGATGAGCGAATATTTTGATGTAGATTTTCATATAGGTAAATATTAAACATAGATCTGTATCTACAACTTTATCCTCCAAATGGATTACTCTTGTTCTTAAAATAATTATTGTGTGATATTCTTTTTTGCTCATATTTCATTTTATTTCAAAAATTCAACTTACTTGAATGGACCTATTTGAAAGAATTGAATTTCTTTTTCATCGATTAAATTTTTCAAACTGTTTTGTAGAAGAATAACATTTGATATTTCGTATAGTTTTTTTTTCTAACTATCCATTTGATTTTAAAAAAGAAATCTGACAAAACATTTCAAGTGAAGAAAAATAATAAAAAAATACACTTTATTTTTTGATCAAATGAATTTTTAGTGTTTCATAATGAAACTATCTAAATAAATATTGGTTCATTGTTATCTTCTATCTTCAAGAAAAAAAAAATATCAATGATTTATATTTTTGTATGTCTGCATTCAATATAACAGTCAATATTAAAAAGATAATAAGTCATGA